CAATTTTCATGCACAATTTGATGTTAATCCGCTGCTCCAGATTCCTGGCAATTCAAAAACGTTTGAAATACACACTGCAATGCGTGAACACATCGTAGGATAGCACAGTGCAATTTAATAGTCACACAACTTTCAGAATGTATTCATCTAATGGCAAAGATAGCTTAGAAAAAATTCAAATGGCTTTCCTATCTCAGATGTTCTCGAACATGATTCACAATACAGGACAAGTCTTAATAACAGACATTCCGAGGAAAACAGCAGTTAAAGATCATAATTTCAGGTTTGCTTTGCCAAAGGAAATTTCACTAGTTTCTAGGAGACTAAGAGGGTGATTCATAAAAGCTGAAAAATAGTAAAGTGTCTTTCTTGCCCAAACCAACCAAGCAAATATTTCTTTTTATTTTGTAATCCCGATTCCTGAACTAAATGTAATTCTTCACGTTTTTTTAAAGCCCAACAGCAGCCAAACTATTTAAACCTCATCTCCAAGCAATTCGAATATATTCCTCAACAGTCAAAAAGGATATAAATTCACTTTACGTACAACAAATGCCTTTGCAAACCTAGATGTTACCTTGTAAACATTACAGTGATGCCATCACTGTGCTGTACTACCCTGTGCAAAGAACACCCACCCACTACAGACTGCTTGCAGAAAACTGGGGAAGAGAGGGGGGTCAGATACAAGACCAGTTACCCTGTACAAGGATAGAGAGCAGCAGGGACCAGGTCTTCATTACTGGAAGGTCTTGCACAGAGGCAGCATTACTGCACTGATGTGGAAGAAATGCACAAAGAACATTGAAATTCCAGTAAGAATATGCATGCCTTTTGTATTTAGTCAATGTTTGTTTGTTCTGGAGTTCAACCTTGATTTTGGATAGGGTATTGAAAGGTTAGAACCTCTATAAGGTATTACACTCAGCTTCGCTGTGCATAGAAAATTTGGAGCTTGCAGGACTACAATATAAGGACCAGCAGACTGAGAGTGATCATCACTGGGACAGTTAACTACACAGATAAAACTTTACACACACACAGTAGCCGCCAGTGCATTTTTTACTGGAAACACACACCATTCACTGCATTTGCTGTTGCAATTTGAAAATGACCTTCAAAAATGTGTGTGACACTCGCTGCCATGCCTAGACCGGAATGTAACAGAGTTTAAAAAATGTGGTAGCCTTCACAAAAGCAAAGGTTTTTTTAAATTCAGATGAAAGAATTCACATATACAGACTAACAATTTTAAAATAAAATTTTAATTGAAAAAAAAAACAGGGAAAGAAAATGGTTCTCATACATAATCCTTAGCATTCTTCTATAGTTTCAATGGTAAGTGAAAGCTGCTGAGCTGCAAATGAAGCCATCTCTCCCCTCCTCTGACCTCGCAACGGCACTGCCCCCCACCACACCCAAGGCCCTGCCTACCGTAACCCCCCCATCACTGCACTCCTTCAGCCCTACTACCACTGAGGAAGTCACCAGAGTCTTCTCAGAAGCCCGCCTCACTACCTGCCCCCTGGACCCTATCCCCTCTCAACTCCTCCGGTCACCCCCCTCTTCCCTCATCCGCTCCCTTACCCACATCTTCAATCTCTCCCTCTCTACTGGCGTCTTCCCCTCCCCCCTAAAACATGCGCACATCACCCCCATACTCAAAAAGCCCTCCCTGGACCCCACTGACCTCAACAACCTCAGACCAATTTCCCTGCTGCCACTCACTTCCAAGCTCCTTGAGCGCTTGGTCTTCGATCGCCTAAGCGCCCACCTAACTGACAGCAACCTCCTTGACCCACTACAGTCCGGCTTCCGTCCCCTACACTCCACCGAAACTGCCCTCCTCAAAATCACCAACGATCTACTAACCGCCAAAGTCAAAGGCGACTACTCTGTCCTCCTCCTCCTAGACCTCTCCGCGGCCTTTGACACAGTCGACCACCCCCTCCTCCTTAATAAACTACTCTCCCTTGGCATCAGAGACAAAGCTCTCTCTTGGTTCTCATCCTATCTATCCCAACGCTCCTTCAGCGTTTCCTACAACGGTGCCACCACCTCTTCCCTCTTCCTCTCTGTTGGGGTCCCCCAGGGCTCTGTCCTTGGACCCCTTCTCTTCTCCATCTACACCTCCTCCCCCTTGGCAAACTCATACACTCCCACGGCTTCAATTACCACCTCTATGCTGATGATACTCAAATCTACCTATCCACCCCTCACCTCACCCCCACATTCTCCGCCCGCATCACTCACCTCCTAAACGACATCTCTGACTGGATGTCGCTCCATTTCCTTAAACTCAACCTCTCCAAAACCGAGCTTCTCGTCTTTCCCCCTTCCCGCGCCCCCCCCCCCCCATCCTTTCCATCACTACCAACAACACCACCATCAATCCCGCCCAGCAAGCCAAGGTCCTTGGCGTCATTCTGGACTCAAACCTTTCCTTTCAACCTCATGTCAAATCACTCACAAAATACATGCAGGCTCCACCTCCGGAACATCGCCAAAATACGCTCCTTCCTTACCCCAGACACCACTAAACTACTCGTACACTCCCTGATTATCTCACGCCTGGACTACTGCAACTCCCTCCTCACCGGCCTACCCCAGTGCAGGCTCTCCCCACTTCAGACCATCCTGAACTCAGCGGCCAGACTCATCCACCTCACCAGCCGCTCCACCTCTGCCACCCCCCTCTGCCTCTCCCTCCACTGGCTCCCCATTGCCCAACGCATTAAATTCAAATTGCTCACCCTGACCTATAAGGCCATCCACAACACTGCCCCTAACTACCTCACCGACCTGATTCCCAGGTACCACCCTACCCGTACCCTTCGCTCTTCACAGGACCTCCTTCTATCTTGCTCCCTGGTCTCCTCCTCCCATGCACGACTGCAAGACTTCTCCAGGTCCTCCCCCATCCTCTGGAACTCACTACCCCAATCCATCAGACTGTCACCTTCCCTCCTCACCTTCAGGCGCTCCCTGAAAACCCACCTCTTCAGGGAAGCCTACCCCACCCTCACCTAACAGCTGCTGCCCTTCCCTCCTCCTACCACTCCATCCCCCACAGCCGTTTCCTCCTGTGCCTCTACCCCCCTCCCTCCTAGATTGTAAGCTCGAAAGAGTAGGGCCCACTTACCCTTGTGTACTGTTTGATGTTACTGTTCTGTTTCATGTATTGTCCCCCCTCTATTGTACAGCGCTGAGCAAACCCTTTGGCGCTATATAAACTCGATAAATAAATAAATAAATAAATAAATCTTTTCAGGTCCCAGAAGAGGGCATTTACAGACATGACACAACAGATTACAGGGTCTGAGGGGTGTGCTGAAGAGTGCTGAAGTATTTTATTATACTCTTGCAGGCACATTCTCAAATCCAATTATTCCAACAAAATATTATACAGAAAGAAATTACCATTTGTCAGATATCAAATATGACATAAATTGAGATCTGAAATGTTCCATAAGCTAGCTCCCCCAGGTAATATATTTATGCTTGCTGTCTAAGGCTGGGTTCACACTAATGCGGTGCGGTATATCACATGTGACTCGCACAGGAACCACACCGCATTCTTGTTCAAATCACATGCGAATTCTGTGCGGTGCAATTTGAGACATACATTATGTATGGCTCAAATTGCATCGCATCAAAAAGGTACAGGACCCTTTTTTGGGTCCGCACTAGAATCGGATCACATGGGTATTCACACCTATGCGATCCGATTCTGCACATCGCATCACTATTTGCTGACTGATTTTGGGGTGTTGTCAACTTAACATACACACCTGCATAGGTTTGCATTAACGGCGTGCGATTGTGATGTGGTGCGGAATTCGCACAGAAAACGCTGCAAATTCCGCACCACATCAGTGTGAACCCAGGCTTAATGATTGTTATACTCTTGTACATTAGTGCAACCGCTTTTTATGAAGATAACTCCATTGCAGGAGAATTTTGGGAATGTGAATAGATTTTGGCTCTGGTAGTTAAAAAAAATCAGACTCAAGAATATATATTGCTTTTAAGTGCTATGCCAGACTATTTACAACATGGAAATTTGAATGCTTACTAAGGGTTGTTCAAGGATTCTGTCTAATGGAGAGTTACAACTTATGATAGCTCTGCTTTCAGTCTAATGTCCTCTGTTTTGTGTCTTAAGCCTAGTACACACGATCAGTAAATTGGACGAAAAATACTGCTTTTGAAGTGATCGTACGATAATCTGATCGTTAGTACACAGCTTTCTTCCGAAATTATTTGAAGGGACAAACACACATTTTTTTTCGTATGATACCATATTCAGTAACAAAAGAATACATTACAATTAGAGATGAGCGAATTATTCAAAAATGCGATTCGGCTGATTCGGCGAATCAAATAAATTTGATTCGAGTCGAATATATTCGCTGCGAATTTAACTTATAAAAAGGGTGTTTCTAGTCTTCAGAGAGCCTTTATATTAGTGCAGAACACTGTACCTTTAATTTAAATGCCCTTGGAGTCTGCTGGGGAAGAGAAATAATACTGTCAGTCAGTATGACATGCAGATGAGTGCCGTCGATCTTAGAATCACCGCACACTTCACTCATTTGGGCAGTCACGGGGCCAAAACCAGAGTGTGGAGCCACAGTGTGGCGGTGGAGGCAGCAGCAATGGGAGGCCATACAGCACCCTATGAAAAAATGGAACCCACCAGCAGTGTGAGGAGACCTGAAAGTGGCACATGGCAGAGTGTGGCGATGGAGACAGCAGCAATGGGAGGCCGTACAGGGACCCATGACACACTCTGGACCTGGCAGCAGCATGAGGAGGCGGTACAGGGGCCCATGACAGATTACGGGCCTGGCAGCAGCATGAGGAGTCGGTACGGGGGCCATGGCAGATTACGGGCCTGGCAGCAGCAATGGAAGGCCATACAGCACCCTATGACAAAATGGAACCCACCAGCAGTGTGAGGAGACCTGAAAGTGGCACATGGCAGAGTGTGGCGATGGAGACAGCAGCAATGGGAGGCCGTACAGGGACCCATGACACACTCTGGACCTGGCAGCAGCATGAGGAGGCGGTACAGGGGCCCATGACAGATTACGGGCCTGGCAGCAGCATGAGGAGTCGGTACGGGGGCCCATGGCAGATTACGGGCCTGGCAGCAGCAATGGGAGGCGTACAGGGACCCATGACACACTCTGGACCTGGCAGCAGCATGAGGAGGCGGTACAGGGGCCCATGACAGATTACGGGCCTGGCAGCAGCATGAGGAGTCGGTACAGGGGGCCCATGGCAGATTACGGGCCTGGCAGCAGCAATGGGAGGCCCGTAATCTGCCAGCACCCTATGACAAAATGGAACCCACCAGCAGTGTGAGGAGACCTGAAAGTGGCACATGGCAGAGTGTGGCGATGGAGACAGCAGCAATGGGAGGCCGTACAGGGACCCATGACACACTCTGGACCTGGCAGCAGCATGAGGAGGCGGTACAGGGGCCCATGACAGATTACGGGCCTGGCAGCAGCATGAGGAGTCGGTACGGGGGCCCATGGCAGATTACGGGCCTGGCAGCAGCAATGGGAGGCCCGTAATCTGCCAGCACCCTATGACAAAATGGAACCCACCAGCAGTGTGAGGAGACCTGAAAGTGGCACATGGCAGAGTGTGGCGATGGAGACAGCAGCAATGGGAGGCCGTACAGGGACCCATGACACACTCTGGACCTGGCAGCAGCATGAGGAGGCGGTACAGGGGCCCATGACAGATTACGGGCCTGGCAGCAGCATAAGGAGTCGGTACGGGGGCCCATGGCAGATTACGGGCCTGGCAGCAGCAATTGGAGGCCATACAGCACCCTATGACAAAATGGAACCCACCAGCAGTGTGAGGAGACCTGAAAGTGGCACATGGCAGAGTGTGGCGATGGAGACAGCAGCAATGGGAGGCCGTACAGGGACCATGACACACTCTGGACCTGGCAGCAGCATGAGGAGGCGGTACAGGGGCCCATGACAGATTACGGGCCTGGCAGCAGCATGAGGAGTCGGTACGGGGGCCCATGGCAGATTACGGGCCTGGCAGCAGCAATGGGAGGCCGTACAGGGACCCATGACACACTCTGGACCTGGCAGCAGCATGAGGAGGTGGTACAGGGCCCATGACAGATTACGGGCCTGGCAGCAGCATGAGGAGTCGGTACGGGGGCCCATGGCAGATTACGGGCCTGGCAGCAGCAATGGGAGGCCCGTAATCTGCCAGCACCCTATGACAAAATGGAACCCACCAGCAGTGTGAGGAGACCTGAAAGTGGCACATGGCAGAGTGTGGCGATGGAGACAGCAGCAATGGGAGGCCGTACAGGGACCCATGACACACTCTGGACCTGGCAGCAGCATGAGGAGGCGGTACAGGGGCCCATGACAGATTACGGGCCTGGCAGCAGCATGAGGAGTCGGTACGGGGGCCCATGGCAGATTACGGGCCTGGCAGCAGCAATGGGAGGCCGTACAGGGACCCATGACACACTCTGGACCTGGCAGCAGCATGAGGAGGCGGTACAGGGGCCCATGACAGATTACGGGCTGGCAGCAGCATGAGGAGTCGGTACAGGGGGCCCATGGCAGATTACGGGCCTGGCAGCAGCAATGGGAGGCCCGTAATCTGCCAGCACCCTATGACAAAATGGAACCCACCAGCAGTGTGAGGAGACCTGAAAGTGGCACATGGCAGAGTGTGGCGATGGAGACAGCAGCAATGGGAGGCCGTACAGGGACCCATGACACACTCTGGACCTGGCAGCAGCATGAGGAGGCGGTACAGGGGCCCATGACAGATTACGGGCCTGGCAGCAGCATGAGGAGTCGGTACGGGGGCCCATGGCAGATTACGGGCCTGGCAGCAGCAATGGGAGGCCATACAGCACCCTATGACAAAATGGAACCCACCAGCAGTGTGAGGAGACCTGAATGTGGCACATGGCAGAGTGTGGCGATGGAGACAGCAGCAATGGGAGGCCGTACAGGGACCCATGACACACTCTGGACCTGGCAGCAGCATGAGGAGGCGGTACAGGGGCCCATGACAGATTACGGGCCTGGCAGCAGCATGAGGAGTCGGTACGGGGGCCCATGGCAGATTACGGGCCTGGCAGCAGCAATTGGAGGCCATACAGCACCCTATGACAAAATGGAACCCACCAGCAGTGTGAGGAGACCTGAAAGTGGCACATGGCAGAGTGTGGCGATGGAGAGAGCAGCAATGGGAGGCCGTACAGGGACCCATGACACACTCTGGACCTGGCAGCAGCATGAGGAGGCGGTACAGGGGCCCATGACAGATTACGGGCCTGGCAGCAGCATGAGGAGTCGGTACGGGGGCCCATGGCAGATTACGGGCCTGGCAGCAGCAATGGGAGGCCGTACAGGGACCCATGACACACTCTGGACCTGGCAGCAGCATGAGGAGGCGGTACAGGGGCCCATGACAGATTACGGGCCTGGCAGCAGCATGAGGAGTCGGTACGGGGGCCCATGGCAGATTACGGGCCTGGCAGCAGCAATGGGAGGCCCGTAATCTGCCAGCACCCTATGACAAAATGGAACCCACCAGCAGTGTGAGGAGACCTGAAAGTGGCACATGGCAGAGTGTGGCGATGGAGACAGCAGCAATGGGAGGCCGTACAGGGACCCATGACACACTCTGGACCTGGCAGCAGCAAGAGGAGGCGGTACAGGGGCCCATGGCAGAGTGGCGAAGCGTAAGCAGCTTAAATTGAAGGCCATACAGAGGCCTATGTTAAAAATAATAACATGTTTGGGGCATGATTCATGGCGGATTTAGTCAGTTGTGTCAGGAACTGGTGGTTTGAAATCCAGACTAATCCACGCCTGATTCATTTTCACAAACGTGAGTCTCTCCACACTTTGGGTGGACAGTCGTGTCCTCCGCGGAGTTACAATACCTCCTGCCGCACTAAACACGCGCTCCGATGCCACGCTACTGGCCGGGCATGACAGCCTTTCAAGGGCAAATTCAGCTAGTTGGGGCCAAAGGTCAAGTTTTGTTGCCCAGTAGTCAAGGGGATTGTCTACCTCGGTTGGCAGGGTGCTGTCCAAGTAGGCCCAAGCCTGTTGTTTGAGGTCCTGCTCCAGGTCCACCTGATGCTGCTGCTGCTGCGGCTGGTTAGTAGTTTCCTCACTGCGCTGGTGAAGAAAGCTACTCATCATCGACTGCAGACTGAGGCAGCTGCTGCTGGTGGAGCTGCCACTGCTCCTACCACCCCACCCCTCCCCTGCTGCCATGGCAGCGGAACGCGAGCGCACAGGGCCCACAGTGTCTGAGGATGGACGTTGGCGCAGAAAGGCAGAGACCAACTGACTACATAGGTGGTTTTTATAGTACGTTATTTTGGCCTCCCTCTCAGCAGGTGTGAAAAAGGCCACCATTTTTGAACGGTAGCGAGGGTCCAACAAGGTGGACAGCCAAAAGTCATCCCTCTGTCTGATGGTTATTATTCGGCTGTCGCTACGCAAGCAACCGAGCATGCTATGGGCCATTTGTGCCAAGGAATGCGAGGGACTCCCTGCCTCCATCTCCACAGCATACTGCCACGGTGCGTCTGGGTCCTCTGTCTCCTCCTCCTCCTCTACCAGATGCTCCTGCTCCTCCACTCCTGTCCGCTGAGTGGAAAAACCACCCATTTCACTCAATAATTCCTGAGCACCAATGTCCTCCTCTACCTCCTCCTCTTCTTCCTGTCCTGCCCCCACAGGGGTCATGTGGCGTTGAGATCTGTGCGCCACGTCTACCGCACCCTGACCAGCCATTGTTAACAGCATTTGTTCCAGGACGTGCAACAGAGGAATGACGTCGTTCATCCCATAGTCCTGCCGACTCACGAATAGCGTGGCCTCCTCAAAGGGCCTGAGCAAGCGGCAGGTGTCACGCATGAGCTGCCAATGGCTGACATCTAAGTTACACAGGGGAGTACCTTTATCCGCTTGTAACATCAGGAAATCGGTGATGGCCTTTCGCTGTTCGTAAAGGCGGTCTAACAAATGTAGGGTTGAATTCCACCTTGTTGCAACGTCGCAGATCAGGCGATGCTGTGGAATTCCATTCTGCCGCTGCAGCTCAAGGAGGGTGTGCTTTGCGGTGTAGGAATGGCTGAAATGCATGCAAAGTTTACGTGACATTTTAAGGATGTCTTGCAGTGGGATGGTGGATTTTAGAAACCGCTTGACAACCAGATTGAACACGTGAGCCATGCATGGCGCATGGCACAACCTTCCTTGACGCAGAGCAGACACCATGTTCTTTCCGTTGTCGGTCAACATGGTTCCGATTTTCAGTTTGCGCGGAGACAGCCATCTGTCGATTTCTCTGTTCATTACACTCAGCAGTTCCTCCCCTGTGTGACTACGTTCGCCAAGGCTGACCAGGTGCAGCACAGCGTGACACCGTTGCGCCCTGCACATGTGATATGCCGGTTGGGTAATGGGACTTGGCACGGGGGTGGCGGCTGAGGACACGGCGGAAGAAGAGGTGGTAGAGGCGGACATCTTTGCTGGACCAAGGACGTGCAAATGTGGAGGCAAAAGCGGTGACCTGTCCAAGTTGCTGGTGCGGCTGTTCCGGCACCACGTTCACCCAGTGGGCCGTAAATGACATGTACTGTCCCTGACCGTAGTTACAGCTCCACACGTCGGCGCTGCCGTGCACTTTGGCAGAGACCGACATGCTCAAAGACTGGCCCACCATCTCTTCTACATGTGAATGCAGGGCTGGCACTGCCTTTTTGGCGAAGAAATGCCGGCTTGGCACTCTCCACCGCGGCGCGGCACAAGCCATCATTTCTCGGAAAGGTGCTGAGTCCACCACTTGGAAAGGGAGGGACTGCAGCACCAGCAACTTGGACAGGAGGACGTTCAGCTTCTGCACCGTCGGGTGCGTGCTCGCAAACTGTTGTCTCTTGGAAACGGATTCCAAGAAAGACTGCTGACGGAATCCGTGAAGAGGAGTAGCAGGAGAAGGAGCATCTGAACGAGCGGAAGATGCCAACGAGCGACAACTCCCCTCAGCAGAGATGTTGGAGCCTTGACTGGCTGATAGAGGGCGATTGACGTCGGGTGACGGAGCAAGTAACGGAGCGGGTGATGGAGCGGGGGCTGGGGCAGGCAGAACCGCCGTATCTTTATCACGGTTTTCCCAGGCCACCGAATGGCGACGCTGCATATGCTGACGCAACGCTGTAGTCCCAACATGGGCACCCTGGCCACGCTTGACTTTCTGGCCACATAGTCGACATACGGCTACGTTTACTTCCTCGGGCGGCTTGACGAAAAATTACCACACCGCCGAGTAGGAAACTTTGCCCCCGCTACTCCTCACTGGCTGACTGCTACTTCCTCCGTGCACACTGGCACCACTACTGGCCGTGGTGGTAGGCTGCAGTGGAGCTGGTGCTCTACTCCGTGGCCGTTTGCCTCCACTGACACTGCTGCGACCCTGCTGCCTCCTGGGCAACCCACCGACTGTTTTGCTCGCTGCCAAGCTGGCACCCTCTTCTCCTGATGATGCGGAAGCAATAGCCTGATGACGACGAGGCTGCCAAGTGCGATCAGCCTCATCATCATCAATTAGGGTCTCCGCCTCACTACTAGCCCCCTCGGCTGCGTGTGGGTCAGGAGACAGACCTGTCTCTAGACCGGCTACCGAGCCACTCTCCTCGCCAGTACTTCTTCGCCTGGCTGCTGAAGAGGCGGATGTCTCCCCCCGTTCCTGACCGCCCTCTGTTAGCTCTTCCTCACTGTACAGTGGGGCTGAGCCCACAGCATGCGATACTTCGCTTGGTGAGGGAAACCAAAGGACAGGTAGAGGACACGTGATTTCAGTGGGCTTGCTCCCGGGCCATGCCAACTAACGGTTGTGTCTGACGTACCCACCGACCGTTGGCTGTAGGTGTCAGAGGTGACCTGGGAAGAGGAAGACGACCGAGTCAACCAATCGATG